TGGGGAAATCCCCAATGTAGGCACAAGTTCAGATACTGGACAGCCAAAAAGGAATGACAGATGTCTACTATGTTGACCCTGGACAAAGCACTCTGAGCCTCCCTTTTCTGTAACACAAGGGAAATAATGTCCACATGGTTAAGGAGATGCTGTAAGTATACTTACTCATTTTACAGTAAATACCACCTATGTGCCAGAATGCAAAGATGCACAGGTCCTTTCCAATGTAATGCAGAAGAAAAATCAATACACATCAGGTGGTGGGACAGAGGCAGGCATAGATGAGGTGAGGGCAGAAAGAAGAGGGGACTCAACTGCAGTTTACAAATGATGCTTTTGTATTTAAGCACTTATATTTAAAAACAAAATTTCCATGTGGCAAGTGATGTTTGTACCACTAATGAGAGAGACAGCATGCTCTTGTAGAAAGCTGTTGCATTCCTTTGAAAGGCTTAACTGTTTCATAGAAATGCCAAAACAGTAATGTTGGCTGGCACAAATCCAGAAACTCAGGCTTTCGATTGCTTTTTGACAGACATCGAGACTTCCAGTTTCATACAATGGGACACCCTTCAAAGGATTAAACATGTTATAGCTTTGCCCAAAGATAATGAGGTAAATCATCATGCCCATTGTAGTGTGATGTAGTCTGAACCCCACCTTTTCTGATCTGACCTAAGTCAGAGTGGTCTGCTATTTGTATCTAGCTAGTGTAAGGGGACAACAGAGGATGAGATGGCTGGATGGCATCACCGACTTGATGGACATGAGTTTGAGTAAACTCCAGGAGTTGGTGATGGACAGGGAGGCCTGGCATGCTGCAATTCATGGGGTCGCAAATAATCGGACACAACTGAGCGACTGAACTGAACTGAACTGAGTGTGTACAACTTTGTCTTTGCTTAAAATAAATTGTTGGCCTTAGGCTTAGGGTGTGTGTATTTTTATGTTTTTCTTTCCATTTATAAAAGAAAAGTTGCATGGTAACACAGGCCTCACCTAGAATCTGTAATAATAACAATTCATCATATGGTACTGATAGATGGAATATATTTTTAGAGAATACATTGTATAGAACTAAGGACTGAGATATGTCAGTGGGATCACTAGAGTCAGCTATTTCAAACCTCAGTGTGGTGGAATGATTTGTTTTTCACAGCATTCTTAGGTTCAGTTCAGATCAGTTGCTCAGTTGTGTCCAACACATTGTGACCCCATGGACTGCAGTATCACCGGCTTCCCTGTCCATCACCAACTCCCAGAGCTTGCTCAAACTCATGTCCTTTAAGTCAGTGATGCCATCCAACCATCTCATCCTCTGTCGTCCCCTTCTCCTTCTGCTCTCAATCTTTCCCAGCATCAGGGTCTTTTCCAATGATTCTGTTCTAAGCATCAGGTGGCCAAAGTATTGGAGCTTCAGCATGAGTCCTTCCAATGAACACCCAGGACTGATCTCCTTTAGGAGGGACTGGTTGGATCTCCTTGCAGTCCAACAGACTCTCCAGAGTTCTCTAACACCACAGCTCAAAAGCATCAATTTTCTGGTGCTCAGCTTTCGGTATGGCCCAACTCTCACATCCTTACATGACTACCGGAAAAACTATAGCTTTGAGTAGACAGACCTTTGTTGGCAAAGTAACATCTCTGCTTTTTAATATGCTGTCTAGGTTGGTTGTAGCTTTTCTTCCAAGAAGCAAGTCTCTTTTAATTTCATGGCTGCAGTCACCATCTGCAGTGCCATCTAGCAGTTCAGTTCAGTTCAGTCGCTCAGTCGTGTCCGACCCTTTGTGACCCCATGAATCGCAGCACGCCAGGCCTCCCTTGTCCATCACCAACTCCCGGAGTTCACTCAAACTCATGTCCATCGAGTTGGCGATGCCATCCAGCCATCTCATCCTCTGTTGTCCCCTTCTCCTCCTGCCTCCAATCNAGAATCAAAATTTTAAAATGAATTTATTATAATTCACTGCTCCTTAATCTCTCACATTGCAAATGTGCATTAATATAGAAATGTTCATCTTTATGATTATCTTTTATATTTAATGCAATTCCAATGAAAATCACAATGGTTTAAAGTATATTTTTCAAAGGAAAAATGATGTTAGTGTTCATACTGGAAGAATAAAGGTTGAGCTGCAAAGTTATCAAGAAGTTGTCTTATGAGGTCTTATCACTTTTTATAAAATTACCTATAAGCAAAACACTTAAGTATGGACACCACAAAAGACCCACAGACCAGAAGAACAAAATAAACAGTTAAAAAACAAATCCAAATATATGTCAAACATAATATTTCAGACACTTAAAATAATGTTTTTGTCCAGTTGGAAAAGAAAGCACACATATATTTCAATATCATACTATATACAAAACAAGTAGTAATGAGACAACAAAGTATTAGAAGAAAATCTAGAAAAGTATTGATAATTTTTTTTAAAGTATTGATAATTTGTAGTGAAAAATTCTTAAGTAAGGCAGAAAAAAGCCTAGCCACTTTAAGGAAAAAGACATTTTTAAGTAAAAGAAAATGTATGTGATAAAAGAGGTCATGAACAAATCAACAAGCAAATGCCACACTGGGAAAAAATATTCCTAGCATACAAAGAGCTGCTCAAAATTTAAAAAAAAAAAATGAGGGAAAGGATATAAACAGACAATTTATAAAAGGGAAAATGCAAAAGACAAACACACATAAAAATATATCAAATTAGGGATCATATAAAAATAAACTTGAATAATAATAAAATGGCATTCTTTATCATCAGTAGACTGGTCAAAATTAAACAGTAACATTCAGGACTAGAAAAGCAGAGAAGTAGGTACTCTCAAGTACTGATGGTGTGAATTAGACCAGTCTTTTTGAAAAAGAATCTGGTAAAATTAATTAAAACAAAAACCATACACTCCCATTAACCAAGCATTTCTGCTTTGGGGATTCTACCTTATAAAAATAAAACTACCAATACATAAGAATGTATTAACAAACAAAAAGAAAACATAAATACATAAGTACTTTTATCATAGCATTGTGTACAATAGCAAAAACATGAAGAGTTGTAAGAATTTGCAAAATCAGTATGGTGTGTTCCCATGTACTTTTCACCTAATGATAACATCTTACATACAGCCACAGTACATTATTAAAACCAGGAAACTGACACTGGTACACCATCATTACAGACTTATTAAGATTTCAATGTGCTTAGTAGCTCAGTTGTGTCCGACTCTTATGGACCCTACAGACTGTAGCCTGCCGGGTTCCTCTGTCCATGGGGATTCTCCAGGCAAGAGTACTGGAGTGGGTTGCCATGCCCTCCTCCAGGGGATCTTCCCAACCTAGGGATCGAACCCAGGACACCTGCATTGCAGGTGGATTCTTCACTGTCTGAGCTACCAGGGAAGCTCCAGATTTCACTAGTTTTTATATGTAAATACTGTGACGAGATGGCTGGATGGCATCTCCGACTCGATGGACATGAGTTTGAGTAAACTCTGGGAGTTGGTAATGGACAGTGAGGCCTGGCGTGCTGTGATTCATGGGGTCACAAAGAGTCGGAGACGACTGAGCGACTGAACTGAACTGAACTGAACTGAACTGTGTATGTAGAGCAGTATGGAATTTTTATCATACGTGCAGATTCATGTGTGTGCGCTCAGTCGCCGAGTGGTGTCTGACTCTTTGCGACACCTATAGACTGTAGCCTGCCAGGCTCCTATGTCCACAGAATTTTCCAGGCAAGAAAATAGGAGTGGGTTGCCATTTCCTTTTTCAAGGGATCTGCCCCACGACTCCTATCATACTTCAAAAGAGGGAGGGGCGGTCTCAAATCACCCATATCCTTCACCCCTTCTTTGCCTTCCTTTTACATAAAATTTTAAAATCCTTATTGTGACTTACTAAATGTTCCGTGATCTGATCCCTACCTGGCTTTAATTTCACTTACACTGTTCTCTGTCAACACAATAAGCTTCAGACAAACTGGACATCTTCCATTTACCCAAAGAGCAATCTTCTCTCCTATGCCTCACCCCACTCAAGAGCTTTCACACAGGCTTTACCAGCCTCTCTTCCGTCTGGCTAACTCCTGACCTCCGTCCCTTGCCCCCGAGTTTTAAATCTGGGTTCTTTCCACGCACTTACTACAAATTATTTAAATGGTATCTGATTAATGTCTACCTTCTCCACTCATTAACTTAAGGAAGATAGAAGCCACATCAGCTTTGTTCACGGCTGTGCCCGTAACAGCAGCAGCAGCAGCAACAACTAACATTATGTGACCGGTAGTGTGTACACATAAAATTATTTAATATATACTCCCAGCATATTGTTTGGACCATAGCCAGCGGTCAGTTCGTTGAATGAATGAACCAGCCCCTCTGTGCACACCTACAAAGTTGCTCACTCGGGCGCCCTGGGGCTGCCTCCCGGGGACCTCGGGCGCTTCGCGAGGCTGCCGGCCGAGGAGTCTGAGCACTTGGCCCCGGCTGCCCCGGGAGGGCTGCCCTCAGGCCGCCCGCGGCCCCGCGCTCAGCTGCACCGGAGAACATCTGTGCCTTGGTTTCCCCTCTTGGGAAACGCGGCCGGGAAGGTGGATCTCTGCGTTTGCCTTCAGCCTGGAGGTTGTGCGGGTCTGTGAGTGAAGTCGAAGAGGAAGATGGGAAGAGAACCCTCATCTCGGAACGCAGGAGCGAGTGTTCGAGGCGCACCTTTTATGTTTTCTGTGTTTTGTGCAAATCGCAAAGCCTCTCCCGAGACTGGTTTCTCCATCTTTAAAGTAAAGGGGATCACCCCTGCCTTGCCTCGCTCACAGGACTACAATGAAGAACAGGTGGAAAAGCCATTTGAAGCGCCAGAACTCGGGGTGTCGGTTACACCTGGGTTCATATAGCTCTGCCACTCTACCGGGCGACCTCGAGCCCCATCTGTTAGAAGATAACAGCAGTAATTAGCTCATGAGGTTGTTGTGAGGTTTAAGTGTAATAGGGCTTAGCACCGTGTCCAGCACAGAAATGCTCAATAATTTGCTACTAGTACAAGTATTACATTGGTACACTAGAGAATCATTCAGGTGAGGCATGTTTAGAACCATCACACTTCCATTTCTGTGTGTTTATTCCTAAAAAGAGTGCTGTACTGATTTCCTACGAGCGGGCCAAGTGGAGTTCTTTCCCCATTTCTGTCTGGGCCCCCTTTGCCGTCTCATTTGTGAGTCAGTCAGGATGGGAACATTAACGTATTGGAGCAGATGGGGATCAGATTCCCTCTGAGGGGAAAGAGAAGTGCCAGACGTGTGCTGCCACCAAAAAAAGCACAATACAGTGATTGACTGTCAGAGTGGAAGATGCCTGGGAAACCATCTACTCTGGTGTCTCCTTGGGCAGAGGGAGAATCTGGCCCCAGAACTGAGGACAGGGCTTTGATTTTCTCAGGACCCGACAGGATGTTGGCCCTGGGTGGTGGAAAGAACCCACACTGTTTACCAGATGCTGTACTTTCCCTGAATTTGAACCTGATTTCTTCATTTATTCAAGTATATATGGAGCACTTGTTCTGTGCTTGTGTACCTAATAGGATCTGGAGAAGAAATACACACATACATATTCCTCTGCCAGTTCTTAGTACATTTTAAAATAACAATAGGTCCCAGTGAGCCTTCCTCATAGCAGCTGGCCCCAAGGGACCGATGCACAGAGAGAGGCCTGAATAGTTTCATGATCAGCCCCAGCGGTCCCAGGGCCCTTGTTGAAGCCTGGTGAGCTTTAAGAGACTGGAGAAAACGCTGCTTTGTCAGGCCTTTGAGTAAAGGATCTCCTCGGGTGCGCACAGTGATTGGATTTCTTTTTCTGGTTTCAGGCAGGCCTCTCATTGTTTTTAGATTTCTGAAAAGAGCCACCCTCACCACAGTGCCTTGATTTTGGTTTCCATGGTTATCAGCTGAATTGTGTTTTTATGATAGCACAAGTAGCTCTTAAGTGGTAAGTGGTCAGGTAGTCCCCAGTTCCCTGCGGTTTGTTTTCTGATGGTGGTTCTGTTTTTTTCAGCTGCAGTGCAGCCATAATATCCTTTGCTCCCTCCCAGCCTCTTTCCTTCTTTGCTTTAACATCCACCAGTGGCAGGGCCAAGAGGAGTGGTAATAAGTAGAAACAGAAGAAAAAAAAAAACCAGAACAACACTTATAGACCCTGGTTTAGGTATCTCAGAATCTTTAGAGGGGTAATCTGAAGGGGCAAATCAGTGGGGCTCTGATAAAGATGTAGATTGGGAGCAAGTAAGAGGTGGTAAGGATGGCGTCCTGGGCAACCAAGAGGATATCATATACTGAGATGCTTTTCAAGGAAGATGTAAAAGAAACAAGTTCCTTCTGCGTGTGTCAGTAACATAATAATAGTACAAGAAGCATTTTGTCCTTTCAGTTTACCTTAATGAATGAACCTTCTCTTAAGTCACCTATCATGGGCTTTCTTTGAAATGTTTCCTTATTTCTCTCGTTAGTCTTTCTTTTAGCCTAGGGATGTATTAGTTCCTACCTGTAGACATGATGATATGTTCATAAAGGTAGATAAAAGTAGATAAGCAGACTCATTTGGTTAAGATTTTGTCTTCCATTTTGGATGTTTAACCATATGTCTCATTTCAAAACCAGTTGGGTTCTAAGCAGCCCCCTATTTCTTTATTTTTCCAAATAATCTCCCAAGTCTCTTAATGCCCCCATTAGTGAGAATTACGAAGTCTCCCCCTTGCAAGCCCCCTGGGGGCTCAGACAGTCCAGAGAAGTCAGTCTTACTGTCCAGACGGGAGAGAACAGTGAGCAGTCTGCCCACATGGTTTCTGACACAGCTGTCCTGCGCCATCTAAGGAAGTGTGTCCACTGCTGCTAACTGCCCTTCTTGGACCACGGCCCTGCCAGCTGATCCCATGCTTTGATTCCAAGGTTGGAGCTTTTAAAATTTATGCCGCTGTGCTTAGCCGTTCTCCCAAAGGGCCAAACTCTGGGCCGTGTGTGGAGCTTGTCACTAAGCTGGGTTCCCCAGGCTCCCCTATTTGGGAAGCACATAGAGGCAGCCTCGGTCGGGGTCACCTCAGACCACCCAGTAGAGTTAAGTATTTTCAAACTTTTCTCAGGGTTTGGGAGCTGAATCCTTTCTCGTCCTAACCCTAACCCGTGGCTTTTCGGCAAATCTCTTTTATTCCTCTCCAGGATTTTGCCTACCAAGAATACTCAGGAATGCCCTTCAACCAGATAGCTCCTCCAGGACTTTGGGTGCCAACTCATCTCGCTTTTCATAGGTAAGAGTCAAACAGTAATCAACATGTTTATTTTATTGTCTTTGTTTTAAACTTTTAAAAGTATGTGACACAGGAAGTCCAGTGGTCAAGACTTCATGCTTCCACTGCAGGGGCATGGGTTCAATCCTTGGCAGGGGGACTAAGATCCTGCATGTCTCAGGCACAGCCTAAAAAAAGAGAAATACAACAAGAATGCATGTGGGTAAAATCCATAAATGTATAGTTTAACAGTTGTAAGGAAAATACACATGTAACTACCACCTATGTCAAGAAATAGAACATTGCCAGTAGTCCATAGCACCCCCTTCCAAATCAGAACTGCCTCCTTGGAATAAACTATGTTGACTTTTGTGATAATCATTTCTTTGCTTTTCTTTGTAGTTTTGTCACCTATGTTTGCATTCTCAGAGATAGTTACTTTTTTTTACCAGGTTACTAACTTTATATGTGTAGAATCATACTGTGTGCTTTTTGTGTTTGCTTCTTTTGCTCAGCTTGTTTGTGAGCTGAATCCATGTGATGACTGCACTTATTTTCATTGCTAGCAGTGTTTCATGATATGAATATGTCACAGTCGTGTTATTCATCCCTGTATTTACAAGTATCTTATCTTATAGTTTCTAAATGCAAAGAACAGTGCCACCATGAACATCCTTAGACATTTTCTATTGCGTAGGTGAATGAGTTTCTTAATTTTTTATGTATTTTTTAATTCACCATTTAACCATTTTATTTTATTTAAAATTTTTTGACCGTGCTGCTTAGCATGTGGCATCTTAGTTCCCTGACCAGGGATCAAACCCGCGCCCCCTACAGTGAAATCAGAGTCCCAACCACTGGATAGCAGGGAAGTCCTGTGAACGAGTTTCTTTAGGTTATATATGCTGAAGTAGAATTTCTTTGCTAGATGATGCCAAACGGTTTTCCAAGTGATTGTACCAATTTACTTTGCTACCAGCAATATATAACAGTTCCTGTTTTTTCACATCCTTGCAATGACTTGGTATTGTCAATTTAAAAATTTTAAACTATTCTTGTAGGTGGTTTTTATTTATATCTCTGTGGTTTTAATTCTCTTTCCTTGGTCTACTGATGAGCACTTTTTTTATTGGTTAATCAGATGGCATCTGTTGTTTGCTGCCTATTCAGTCTTTTGCCTGTTTTTCAGCTTTTCTTATTGATTTATCCGAGTTCTGTATAAATTTTGGGTAGTGGTTCCTTGTCCATTATATGTTTTAAAAGTACCTTCTCCTGCTCTGTGACTCTCTTTATCCTCCTAGCTGTTTATCTTAGACCCTATTCTATTGAAGCAGGACCTCAGTGGGGATTAACACTCAAATGATGCATTGGAAGAAGTGGTCAGGAAAAGGAGGATGAGGGAAGCAGGATGGAGGGAGGAGAGGAAGAGAAGGATAACTAGATGAGGTGGCAGTTTTCTGGAGAAGAGACATCAGTGTGTTGTTAGCAGCTGACACTTCTGTCTGGGGGATGGGTGCGCTAGGCAGTAAAGTGGATCTGGGTTGGGCACCAGTGGTATTGCCTATAGTCAAACCTTTGCCTTCTACATCAGCGTCACTCCATCCAGGTACAGCCTCTCCAGGATTCTGGTCAGTCACAGTTTCTGGGGAAACTCACAAGTATAAAGTTAGTGGGACAAGCTACAATCCCTGCCACTGCCATCGGTCCAAAGATCAAATCATGCCCGTAATCTTCCACTTCCACCATCCGTATCAGTTTCCCTGCTTTGTCCCCTGAACGTAAGAGAGAACTCTGACAAAGCGACCTGGGTCTGCAAGTTTATTTTGTTATGTTATTTTTTAACTACAGAGTCAATGTTTTTAGTGCTTCTAGGACAAGTTTTTCAATTTCTTCTTAAAGAATAGTTTAATAGTTTTCTTAAGTAATAGTTTTCAGGAATTTGTCCCTTTTAAAGTTTCAAATTTATTTATATAAAGTTTGTAATATTTCCTTTCCCTTTTCATGTCTGCAACATCTGTAGCAATATCCTCTTTTCATCTGATTTCATTCTTATGCCTTCTCTTTTTGATTCTTGAGCTTCAGTAGAGGTTTCTTCCCCCCCCCCCATTTATTTTTATTAGTTGGAGGCTAATTACTTTACAGTATTGTAGTGGTTTTTGCCATACATTGACATGAATCAGCCATGGATTTACATGTGTTCCCCATCCCGATCCCCCCTCCCACCTCCCTCTCCACCCCATCCCTCTGGGTCTTCCCAGTGCACCAGGCCCGAGCACTTGTCTCATGCATCCAACCTGGGCTAGAGGTTCCTTTTGAAGAACCAACTTTTGTCTTTGTTGGTTTTCTCCATGGTTGGGTTTCTATTCTGTGAAGTTCTGCTTTTTTAAAAAAGAAGTTTACTTTCCTTGTATATATTTTTATTTTTCCTCTAACTTTTTGAAATGGATGCTTAGTTCATTAAGTTCTATACTTTTTATTTTTATTCTTTACATTTAAGGTTAAGCATTTTTCTCCAAATACTGTTTAGCCAGAGCTCATGAGTTTTGATATGTAGTATTTTAATCATTTATTTCTAAACACTTTCTAGTTCCCACTGTGATTGCTCTTTTGACTCATAGGTATCTTAGAAATGTTTTCTTCACTTCCAAGGATATCTTTTATAATTATTTATTAGTTATTATCTTTTAATTATTATTTATTTATTTATTTATTTATTATTTATTAGTTATCTTTTATTAATTGATTGTAGTCAGTGAGCTTGTTCTGTATAATCTTAATCTTTTAAATTTGTTGAAATTTCTGTTAGGGCTCTGTTTTGAGTTTTTGTAAGCGTTATATGTGTGCTTGAAAATAATTTGTATTCTTTAATTATTGGATTCTCTGTAATAGTTCTGTGTAATGCCATTAGATCATGTTTATTAATTATTTTCAAATCTTGATCCTTACTGATTTTTTTGCTTATCTTAGCTATTATAGAGAAATGTGTTAAAATATACAACTATGATAATGAAATTGTCTGTTTTACCTTTTAATTTTTTTGCTTTTATATCTTTGAGCCCAATTATCAAGTACATACAAATATGAAGTTGTTATACTTCCTAGTGTACTAACCTTTTATCATTTATGAAGTTGCCCTTTTTTATTTCAAGTAAAAAAAACTTTTTTAGCCTTAAACTCTATTATGTGAGGTATATCTTTTCCTGTCCTTTTTGTTTCACCCTTTCTGTTTCTGGGTGTTTTAAGGATGCCCGTTATAAATAGCATATAGTTGGGTTTTGGTTTTTTATAATTTTTGTCTCTTAACTGGGACGTTTACTCCGTGTTCATTTAATACAGCCATGGATGTATTTAGGTTTGAGTTTGTCGTCATATTTTATGCTTTCACTGTGTGTTTGTCCTGCTAGTTCTCCTTTTATTTTCTCTCTCTTTTTCCTTTTGGGGAGGTTGTTTTTAATCACTGCTTTCCCCCCCTTCTTTCTAGTTTGGACATTATGTTCTTCTTGCTCTTCTTTTAGTGGTTACCCTTGAAATTTTAATTTAACCAAAGTTGATAAATTATGGAAATGATAAATATCTCTACTCTTCTTTTGGATGGTACAAGACCTTAGGCCACTTGAACTGTCTTTTCCTTTGCCACTTAACAGTAAACTTGTTATAATACAGTGTATCAGCTTTGATTAGAGTCATTTCAGGACTGGGAGATGGAACAAGTGAGATAAGGGAGGAGAAAAGTCAGAGAGCAAAGAATTTCCTTGAGAAAACTCTGTGTGTACCTTTCAGGACTCCCTTTGTTGCAAGTGACCAGTTTAGGCACTCTTAACTTTAAAAAGAAACTCTCTTGGCTTATAAAACTGCCTAACTGGATCCAGGGGCCCAAAAATATTCTTAGGGTGCTTTCTCTATCTCTCATAGTCACTTAACCTTGTTTGTCTTAGTTTGGCTTCGTTCCTCAAATGGACTCATCTGAGTTGTCGCCATGCCTGGCAAGGGGGGATGGTTTATTCTGATCATCTACTTTGGGCCAGGGATCCATCCTCTGTGATGAAGGGCTGAAGCACTTTGCATGACAGCCCCTGGACTCAGGACTAAATGAAGTGGGAGTGGGGTTCTTCTAAAAAAAAACCACAAGAAGGAAGGTGCAGACTTTCCTGGTAGTCCAGTGGTTAAGAATCTGCCTGCCTGTGCAGGGGACACAGGTTCGATCCCTGGTCCAGGAAGATCCCACATCCTGAGGGCCAGCTCAGCCCAGGCACCACAGCTGCCAAAGCGCGTGCGCTCAGAGCCCGCGCTCTGCAACAAGAGAGGCCGCCACTGAGAGTGGCCCCCACCTGCCGCAACTAGAGAAAGCCCGTGTGCAGCAGCAAAGACCCAGCACAGCCGACAGTAAATACAAATTGTGAAGGGAACGTGTGCCGGGCAGACGGAAGTTACAGCTGCCCCAGTCCACTGTACTGAGCAAGGGCTGACGGAGAGATACAGAGACTCAAGAGGGTGAGAGAGGTTGCAGTTGGAATTAACGCATTTAACCTTTACAGGAACAGAGTGGAGGACATCACTATTTACAAGCCCACTGACAAGGAAGGAGGAGGCTGGTCAAACAGTTCCTTACTCACTCTGGGCACCTTGGCGTTGTTGGTTGAGGACATCACGGTGGTTGACAGCAGACGTGTGGGGCTCTAGTGTGTATAGATGTTTTCAACACGTCAGCCATGGTGCTTGCCATTCCCACAGCCCTTTCTAAGAGAAACTTCTACATCCATAACTCCTGTTCATGGAGTGGCAGCCCCAGACAGCTGTGTTTCTACCATAAAATCTTGCTCTACCCCACACCCTGCTCAAAACTTGCTGAACCAGAGATGGACGTTAGATCCAAGAGCAGCCAATTGCTGGCCTCACCGGGGACCTGTGATGTGACCCAGTGTAAAAGAAGATGCGTGTTCTCTTAGATATTTAAACCGGGGGTACAGAAGGACACTTAGCTACAGAAATTGAAGCTGAAATGGTATAAAGAGAGAAGCCAT